AAGGACTAGGGGAGACATGATAGCAGTGTTCCAATATCTCAGGTTTGCCACAAAGAAGTGGGAGTCAAACTATTCTTCAATGCACCTGAAGATAGAACAAGAAGCAATTGGTGAAAATAATCAAGGAGAGAAGCAACTTAGAACTGAGGAGAAATTTCCTGAAAGTTAAAACTATCAGTCAGTGGAACAGCTTGCCTCCAGAAGTTGTGAAAGTCCGAACACTGAAGTCTTTAAGATGTTGGATAGATATCTGTCTGAAATAGTATAGGGTTTCCTGCCTAGACAGGGGGTTTGATTAGAAGACTAGATTAAGTGGATGGATGGATACCAAGAAAAGTATATATGGAGCATTTGCAAAAGAACATTTGTAAAACATCTAATTATTATTTATTTCTCTGAGTATTCAGTAGTATTTCAGGCTTTAGTTTAGGCAAATACTTATTGACATTACAAGATGTGTGGTTTTCATATAAAAAAGGAAAATAATTGTTTTTTTTCAGGTGGGGTAAGAGACTGGAAAACACTTTTTAGTGAAGCAAACAACAAGGAGATGGACACCGTATTTAAAGAGCGCTTAGAAGGAACCAAAGTGGGAAAATTGATAAACTATGATCGTTACTGCAAGACATGAAGATCAAGGGGAAAAGCTATCCATTGTAAAATAATTCCATTCTCAGAAACAAGGCATTCCATTTACATTTTAATAAATTTATGATTTTTATGTAATCTCTGCATGAAAGGGGAATGGAAATTATTTCAAGAGTTTTCTGACAACAGTTCTATAAATTTATAAGTTATAAATGGCTAAACTGCATTACTTAATCCTGCTAATAGCATATTCATTCTTATTCAGATTTATGACAAAGTATTTTAGAAATATAAGACATTTGGATAGATGTGAGAAAGAATGTGACCTTTTATTGTATAGAAATCAACAAGCTCTTAATCACACCAATTCTTCGAGCATACATATATGTTTCTGTGTGTTTATTCATACACACTCATCTACACACATTTTCATACATACTATTAAATACTGAAATCAATTTGAAATGTAATTATGTATTGTTCATTGACATCTTAATCATAAATCCTAACAGAAAATTAATTGATTGCCTGCTGCCAATCCGAATGATTGCTAGTAACAAGAAATTATACCAATACAGGTAGAGAGAAAAGAAGGGAAGCCACCAGGTAGTCACAAATGATAATCATGTGATGTTGCACATAACAATTGCACAGAAGTCATTTAACAGTGGCAATGAGATTTGCCGCAATTGCTATCATAAGTCAGTACAGAGGATTAGCCATAACAACATTCTTTTCTATGATAGTTGAGGACACTCAGCTTGCACCTGGATGGGAGTGACTTGGAGTTGTCTTCCATTGGGACATTGCAAGGATTGGACCATGTGATGAACTTGTCGATGCAGGGAGTGGATCTTTGACTTTCTTTTGGGTGGGGAAAGAACTGTCAGATTTGGGTTTCCCAGATGTGCCAATATGACATCTCTAATAAAATGGAACTTTGTGGAATTGCTAGCCTTGGAGTCTTCTTTGGTTGGGAGTGTTACTTGGAACCCTGACAATTGTTTTGTTAATCTAGCCACCTGGGTAAATGGAGGAGTTAATACCACACAAATTCTTTTCTCTGTAGTGCATTATTTGTGCAGTATCTGGATAATTTAAAAGACTGAAAACTGCCCCTGTTTCATGAACAGTAATGGGAAACTAGCAAACCAAGGAGCAAGATAGAATTCTTGCAGTGGAGAAATTTGAGTTTAACGGGTAGGGGAAAGTGTGAGAAAAAGATTCAGAGTAACTCTGGTACGTACACCAGATATAATTGTATGGAAAGGTTGCTGTGGTAGCCTTTGAGATTAATGTGAAGCCATAAGAGACTGGCAAAGTCAGGAAACAAGAACCACTATGAATTTCTTGAAAATTTTTTATTGCTGGTAATAAAGCTCTCTATTGCTATCGCTAGAGAATCTTGAAAGTATTTCTCCTCTATAATTTACAAAAGTCACAGCAAATAATTTGTAGGGGATTTTAAGCCTGCAGGATGTAAAGCTCAAGGCAGAAGTCCATGGAGATTGCCTTGAAGGAAATATTTGGGGTCTAACAACATTCCTTACAGTAGAACATGGTATTGGAAGCGGTTCAGGCTGATTTAATGAGATAAGAGAGAAAGAAGGAAAAGAAAAGCAGAATGGCCAGATTCTGTTATTATCACCTATCTTAATAAAGTATAATTATAGTTTTTCTATGGAGCCAGTTTCATGTTCTGGTCTAATTTTAGGGTTGTCCAAAACCACTAAGGTTGCTCCTAGCATGGCTCTTCCTTCTGCTTTGATATATAATCTCTGCTACCACCACCTATCTCCAGAGGTGGGTTCCTACTGGTTCAGACCAGTTCAGCCAAGTAGGTAGTAACTCAGCTGGCCATGCCCCTGAACTGGTTCTATTTGGGGCACCACAGGTGCCATCATCTTGTTTTTTGCTTCTGCACATGCACAGAAACAATTTTTTATTACTGCACAGGCGCACATAGCGTGCATCAAGCGCTCATGCATGCAAAGCATGTCCCTGAGTGGACCAGCAGTAACAGAAACCAGAACCCACCCATACCTATCTCCCAAAGTATGTGTGGAGAGAGATAGAGTTCCAATAACGTATGCTGCCTTTCAAGGAATCAAAAGATCAAAATGCAAAAAGCAATATAATTTCAACCACAATTGAGCCCAAAATTACTAAGCAAGGCAGTTGTTTTAGAGCCTTTCTTGCCACAATTGTTAAATGAATCCTACTCCACCCTAAAACTCGTATCATTCATTCTCTGAGTCTTTCCATTTATTGCTATCTATGAATATAAGAATCCATAATCATGAACCGTATTAACTGTACCTCTTTTATCTGTTCATATGTTATGAGCAAGACATTTTCTTCATCAATATACTTGTTCCATGTACAAAGATACTCTATATAGGATCCCCGGGGCACTATTATTATTATTTTTTAATTAAGATCATGTTAAAACAAGATTCATAACTGACATAAATATGTATATAATTCATTGAAAAAGTAAATGAATCTGGTTTCCCCATTGACTTCACTTGTCAGAAAGTTGTAAAAGGTAATCACATGATCCAAGACATTGCAACCATCATAAATACAATCCAGTTGCCAAGCATCCAAATTTTGATTACATGACCATGGGGATGCTGTGACAGTCATAAGTGTGAAAAATGGTTACAATTCACTTTGTCAGTGCCATTGTAAATTTGAACATTCACTAAGTGAATGGTTGTAAGCCAAGGACTACCTATACTTCATTTGATCTTAAATTTTCTAAAGTAAAGCTTTAATTGTTTTGTTCCTTTTTAGTTACAGCTGTTAATCATTAACCTATACAAAGAAGACATTTGCAGCTATAAAAGTCAAGCATAATTGCAAGCATGGCAACTTTCTTTGTTCTGTTCCACTCGTCCTTTCTAACTGTTCTTACTAATAGAAAGACAGACTGGTGATAACCTGCACCTCAAAAGAAAGATGCCCAAAGGATTTGTGACCAAAAGATTCTTCTATTGTCCCAATTTCAACTCCAATTGATCTAAACATCTGATCAATCCAATGACATGATCTCATTCCCCAATCATCTGATTATTTATTATTCCTAAATGTACAAACAAAACTGTTTAAATATATGTAGAGTTATTTTGACTTAGCTCTGAATTAAAACTTCTCTTTCTGCCTCTCTTTCTGAAGGAACAGGGGTCCTTTGCTCACCCATGTATATTACAATACCATTCCAAACTTAATCATGTATTCCCTCCTCCGTCCAGTAACGAATACCGAGACAAGCTTAGCTGGAATGCCACAACTCTTAAATCTTGGTGGCTGAAAGCCCAAACACAACGAACAGATAAAGAACCTTGGCAGCAACCAGACTTCGACAGATGCAGATAACAGCTTCTCCAGAGTTGATAATTAAGTTGAATCTTGCAACCAGACTCCTCCCAGAGTCTCTCCTTAAATACTATCTTGAGAGGAGCTTAATTACAACCACCTGGATTCAATTATCTTTTGTATCTGCATAGCTGTTCTCTACGTCGATCTGCCCGTCGTTGCTGGGCATCCAGGACCACCTCCCTTGTTTCCTCACCACTGCTCCAAGGCCTGACATCAGGAGCACACTCCCTTTGGCTTTCACCACTGCTCCATGCCTCAGGCGCCTCCTGGCGGCCAACCAGCCTCTCTGTGCCCTGCTCAGAGTTGGAACCCTGTCCAGCGTCCTCCACATCTTCCAGAGCCAACTCATAAGGCTCCTCGCTGTCGGAGTCTGTTTGCAGTTCCAACGGCTCCTGCTGGGCCACAACATCATGTAGCTTTTTATTTCATTCTGTTCCTCACAACGTGTCCTTTCATGCTACTCAAGCACTTGTCCTTAAACTCTTCTCCAAGGCTATTTCAGCACCATGGCAGGCAATCTCCTGTTCTGTCTCTAAATCTGATGCGTGGCTAGTTCACTTTCATTTGTGTGTGCAACTTACCAACAACTCTTCTTTCTTTTCTTTTTTTCTTTTTTTAATTATTTTTTTATTTACAAACATGTAAAATACACACACACAAAACTTAGACATACACCACATTTACACAATACAATACGAACAGGAGCTTCCTGTTCTTTCTAATAGCAATTGCCAATCGATATTGCTCACCTTATATTGTTTCCCCTTCTATTATACGTATTTCATTTGTATTTCACCATTCTTAACCTTCTTATTTTACTCATCTGTCTGCTATATTGGCTGATTACCTCTAGTAAATTTAAACCACTTGGATACATATATATTTGTTAATTCTCCTTAACTACTATTTTTGGGCTCTTCTTTCTTTTAACTATGGGAGAGTGCTTCCAAATTGAATTGGGATAGCCCCAGCTGGGATGGTGCCCAAATTGGGACACCCCCTGAAGTTACAAAGTTCAGTGAACTGTGCCACATACATTCAAAGTTGTTGGATATGAGATGGGTGGCAAATAAATTTCCTAAATAAATAAATGAAAAATATATTCAAAATTTTGCAGCTGGCCATCCATGAAATCTACCCTTGAGTAGTTTCTCACCCTTTTTTTCCTGCATCATCTTTCCTTCAATGATATTCTGCTCATGGCTCCCTTAGTGTTGGCTAAAGCTACCACAGCTTAGATATCAAAGGAGGACCACCCAGTGAAGATGGAAGAAAGTTTATAATTAAGCAAGATTTATTAAGTCTAGAGCAGGGGTCCCCAACAACTGAGCTGTGGTTGCAACTGGGTCATGGAAATGGAGGAGCGTGCATGCATGCCCATGCATACCCACTTATGCAAGCAGCGGGCAATCATGTGCACGTGCACTCCATTTGCGTGAGTGGTGTACATAAAGTACACAATATAAGAAACAAAACTAAAAACACATAGCCTACAACCAAGAGGTGGGCTCTAGCCAATGGCAAGGACACAGATCCAAGTTTTCAAGGCTTTATGAAAGGTGCCACAACAGAAATGACTTCTGCTTGAGACCCCATCAACCAACTTTTTTCTAGCCGGTAGTACCTAGAACATATTTATTCTTCCAGATCAGATAGGACATGTAATAAAAATTATACTATTATTTGTTGTTGTTAGTTGCAAAGTCGTGTCCAACCCATTGCGACCCCATGGACAACATTCCTCCAGGCCTTCTTGTCCTCTACCATCCTCTGGAGTCCATTTAAGCTCACACCTACTGCTTCAGTGACTCCATCCAGCCACCTCATTCTCTGTCATCCTTTTCTTCTTTTGCCCTCAATCTTTCCCAGCATTAGACTCTTCTCCAGTGAGTCCTTCCTTCTTGTTAGGTGAACAAAGTATTTGAGTTTCATCTCTAGGATCTGGCCTTCTAAAGAGCAGTCAGGGTTGATCTCCTGTAGGACTGACCAGTTTGATTGTCTTGCAGTACAAGGGACTTGCATGAGTCTTCTCCCGCATCATTATTATTACATTATAGATAATTATTATTCAATTATATAATTTCTGCAAATCTTTCAAATTCATTTTAAATATCCAGTATTAACTTGCCAAATATTAATTGACAAAAATAAGTAGGCTATGGCAATGGCAACTGAACAAGGAAAAAGATAAGAAAAACGAAGGTTACAATTGCTAGCAGAATATTCTACTTTTGCAATGGTTATTACTGTCACCTTTTTTTGCTTTGAGAAAGTGTTGCTCTGAGATGTCTAGCATGCTGTTCAGCAAGTGTTTCATAAACTCAGCAACTCTAACCCCATTTTTCAGAGGTTGCCTTGGGTCAATTATCCCCTTAAGAATATGTTTTTCTCTAACATGTTATCTGTTCAATCCAAGTTGGCCACAACTTCATTGGAATTTTTTTTCTGCAGGAGGAAATAAAGTTGAATAAACTTTGTTCATAGTATTTCATGACAGTTAATTAGTAACAAGATCCATTCTTCTAGTGTGTTCTTTGTCATGTGACAGTTGATTTCTCTATAAAGGTATTAGCTTCACTTATGAAGCCAACTGAATCTCTAAGCTACCCATCTGAGGTCTTTGAATAGCACAATCATGACTCAAAAACAGCTAAGCAAATTCCTAGATGAGAAGTTGGAAGAAAATGAAAAGGCTACTCCTTCAGAACGGACATTTATGTATGATGGGGTGAAATATCCTACTATGATCTGTTGCCTGGAAACTCTGAAAAGGGTTAATACTTTTAGAGCTCGAAAAGATGATATCATACTAGTATCATATCCCAAAACAGGTAAGCATCACAATTTTGCAAGGAATGCCTTTGTATCTGTATATATAGAATATAGAATCATAGGGTAGGAAGGAACTTTGGAGATCTTCTAGTCCATCCCTCTTCTCAAGGCAGGACAATTTATATCATTCTGGTCAAATATATACATGCTTGATCGTTTCTTTAGAGCTTCTAACAAAATTCCTGTTAAATAAAAAGGAGCAGATTCCAAAGCACTGGACATTTTATTATGATTGGTTATGTAAGTCCTCACTATTATGTTTAAGATGACATTCTTGACCTTCTGTGTGTTTCCAGAAATACAGGGGTCATACAATTATATTGGCATTTCTGCTTAAAATAATCAACTATATGAATTATGCTGTCATTCCTAAAATGTCAGTTATGTATTTTCCAAATAAATCCATACAATGTATGAAAATACATAAACAAAAGTTGTAAAATTCATTTTCCTATAGCTTGTGTAGTATTGAAAAAATGACTTTATCAGGCCAAAATACTGCTGTGTTGATAAATTCTGTATTCTGTGGATATACCCCAAAATAATTACATACGGCACATATCTAGTCAAACTGGATGGATTCAGGGTTGCAAGGACTTTGATTTTTGAGACCATGAATATTTCATATAACGTTGATCATACTATAGCGCTGTCAGACAGTTTTCCATGTTTCTATATTCTTGTTTTAAGAAGGCAGTTAATAGTTGTCATTTTTATTAACAATGCCTAATGTCTAGTTACTTGTTCAATATAAAATTCTTATTCAACAAGTCTACATACTTAAAGATACTGTGCATGCAACAGACACCTGAAGTGCACGTCTCTCTCTCTCTTTTTTTTTGAAGTTTCATGAACAATGTTTATTTTATAAACATTCTATGTTTATATTTTCAATTCTGATATGGTTGAAATGACCTATGATCAAGATATGTACTTTTACATATTAAGTGACACCATTTCTGCATTTCTTCAGGTTCAAACTGGGTTGGGGAGATTTTAAGACAGCTGGAAATTGCCTCTGGAAAATATGATGAAGTTGAACAGAAGCAAAGGCAGCAAATACTGGAGGAATTATCACTACTTCCTTTTCTTGAATTTGGAGATCCAGAAAAATTTGAGGTTAGAAATCAGAGAAATATTCAGTAGCTTCTATCAAGTGGCAGGAAGATCACATGAAAGATTTACAAGCCGAGAAGTGTGTGTAAACAGGAGTGCTATTTATATAGCATAGAGTACATTGAGACTTAACAATGTGAAATTCACTCATTAGAAAAGAACAGAAAAATCTGGATGGGCGCAGGAGAGAAATAGGGATGTCTGTGTGAAGTCTCTGTGTCTAGTTTAATCAGCTCACAGCAAGGGTGTATTGATCATTGGAGTTCTACTACAAACAAAATCCTTAAATATCATAACATTAAACTATAAGAAATAAACTAAAGTAAGGGCAGGCACTGACCTAAATGTGTATGTATTGCTGGGACATGGTGTTACTTTAACAGACAGAAGATACAAGGGAACCACCATTGACATCAAGACCCAAGTCAGCAGAGGCAACATTTTTAGCTTGTCTGGTTTGGTTTTTAGGTGAATTAATTCTATTCCAAAGCTTAGCCAGACTTATTTAGTCTTATTTCCATTGGAATACAGAATGAAATTGCATCTTTAACTTTTGATAATATACCACTAAATATCAGTGATAGACATCCACACACTGCCAATTTAGGGACCATATATGAAGACAAGACAAGATAAAAAATTAAGATTTTCAGCTTGACCTTGTTTTAAAATATTTTGGGTTGCTCTGTATCTTATCAGGAATACTTAGCTCGGTCCATGCCTTCTTTCATAGACTATTGTGGAAAAATGCAGTTTATCAGTAACAGGCAGATAACTTAAAACAGTAGGAAAGGATCCAAGTGTTCATTCCACATCTAAAGAATCTCCTTAATCTATATCCCTATATTACTGATGCAGGGCATATCCATTTCTTTGGAAACATTTAGAGGACCATTGTATCCAACCAGGATTTCCATGTGAGCTGAAAAGTTCTGGAATGTTATGTTGAACATACTGGACACAATATACAAGGGAAATTTGGCCTGGCACTGTTTTCAGTTATTTATTTGTATTCGTAGGAATGAGATGCCAAAAGTCATTTGCATGACAAGAAAAAAAACATATTTAAAATGTAGGCTTTCCAGCTGTGTATGGTTTCTTCTACAGTGTCTCAATGATTTGAAGTCTGTTAACCATCTCCCAAATCAAAGGCAGCACATCTTAAACCAGTTGCTAAGATTTAGGAAGTAAAAACTGAAGAACACTATTGATTTTTGCTTCCCTCCCAAGTTCCACTTTTGCCTTCAGCATCCTCATAATGGGTGTGTATGTGAGGGCTGCTTTCATGACCCAACCAGATAAACTGGATAGGTCTCATAAATGAGATTTGTTAAAAGAGAAGGTTAGCATTGGTTTCTGTTTCAACAATATGAAAATAATAATGTGAGTAGCATGCAGCAAAGTATTTCTGTCTCTCTTCTTCATCTGCCTAAAAAGACTCTTGAAGAATAGCAATAGCACATAGACTTATATACTGCCCCAGTAATGCTTTATAGCACTCTCCAGATGGTTTACAGTGTCAGCATATTGCTCCCAACAATCTGGGTTCTCATTTTATCAACCTGAGAAGAGTGGAAGGCTGAGTGAACCTTGAGCCCTGTCAGGATCAAACTCCAGGCTGTGGGCAGAATTTGCCCACAATACTGCATTCTAACCACTGAGCCACCAGGGATCTTCAGGAGAGGTTGGAATGGAGCAAATTGATATATAGTTTTATTGTTCTACCATTCTGTGTACATCTACCTCTCTGTCCGCAAGAGTATTACTACTGTGTCATTGTGTGTGTTTTGTGTGTGTGTGTGTGTGTGTCATTGTGTTTCTAAAATATAACTATGTAAGCCATATAATTTCTCACATTAGAATTAACCAAATATGATAATTATGCATGGATGCAATAGCTCAATGGTTAAAGATGATGAGATTGTTAGCTGAAGAGCTGACAGCCCGGGTTCAAGACCTGACCTCCATGCAATGGGTGAACTCTCATTATCTGCCCCATCTCCTTCCCACCTAGCAGTTCTAAACCATGCAAATGCAAGTAGATTAATAGGTACCACTACAGTGGGATGGTAATAGCATTCCGTGAACCTTCGGTGTATAACCATGCTTGCCACATGACCATGGATTATCTTTGGATAACATTGGCTCCCTTGGGCAAGGAACGAAGATGAGCACCTTGCCCTAGAGTCACACATGACTGACAGGGAAACCATTACCTTTTTTTGTTAATTATGCTTAGATAGCAATATCTTGTGGCTAGCGAAATAATTACCTTCTTCTTGACTCTTTTCTAATCCCTGATTGGGTAAGTGCAAATCACCATAGCAGAATTCTTTTCTCTTTTCTGGGATCTTGCCATTATTCCAGAAGAGGTGGTCTTTGGTTCACCATAAACTTGAAAACTTTTAGCACCCAAACTTCCGGTAACTAAATCCAGTTTAATTTGCCAGCCATGTTCCCCTATCCGTCCTTCCACCGAGTTCTGAAATTTCAACTCCAATTTCCTTTCTGCTGGTCACTAGCTTGTTTACATCCTTTAAACTCTTAATATCAGATCTCTGTATAGGTAAAAGGAAAAAAAAACGGTGTCTGCTCTTCCTCAATGGTTTCCCAGAGGAATTTGGAGGAACTCTCCAAATACAGCACATGTATTGGGGATATCATGTCAGAGAATGACAGCCACTGTTTACCTGCTCAATTCTTTCACATTACACTGCATTATGTATTGTAACTTTCCTCACTTCAATCAGTATAAAACAATCACATAATTAGGTAGAGTCAGGCAAAAGCAACCACAAGGACCCTAAAAATATTTCAACATGGGTTTTATTGTTAGTTGTCCATGTTACAAGAATCTGTCCATATAGGTAGATAAGTAAATGATAATGAAATAAGAGAGTTAGAAATGGTGAAACTCAATGGTAAGGTATTTGGAGAGAAAATATTGTATATAAAAATATGTGCCAATCTAAAATTGCTATAAGAAGGAACATGACATTCCAGCGTGTTGTATAAATGTAGTCTATGTCTTTGTATTTGTGTGTTTAAAATTATTTTTTTTTTAAAAAAAGAATGTCCAGAATGATTGTATTCCCTTGGGAACAGCAAGAGCCATAGTGGGTGCAGTGGTTCGAATGTAGTACTGCGGGCTATTTCTGCTGACTGCCAGCTACCAGCAGTTCGGCAGTTCGAGTCTCACCAGTCTCAAATTTGACTCAACCTTTCATCCTTGAGAGGTGGGTAAAATGAGGACCCAGATTGTTGGGTCCAATAGGCTGACTCTGTAAGCAGCTTAGAGAGGGCTGGAAAGCACTGTGAAGAGGTATATAAGTCCAAGTGCTATTGTAAGGTTTCAAGGATTCTGGGGGAGGTCTGTAGCTCAATAACTCCAAACTCAGCCCCTTCTTAACACTTCCTTCCAGTCTAGCTGGAGATTCCACCATAGAGTTTACAATGACAAAATCAGTGGGACTCAGTTTTTTTAGGGATGAACTTTAATATTCCTAATTTATACTTATGTATTATTTTCTTTGCATAATGATGTTAACTTCCTATGATGTTAATATTATTAAAGAGGATGGAAAAACTGCCTCCCAGAAGAATTATAAAAACACACCTCATCCCTCACATGTTGCCCAGGTCTTTTTTTGAAAAGAAGACAAAAGTAAGTAGCTGCATTTTCTCAGTTGTGATTTTATATATCATTATAACATATATCATCTATCAATAAAGTATTGTCAAATTAATTTACAAAGCCCAAGATCATATCAACTTTTCAGGTCCTGAATTGGCTTGGAGCATAGTTATAAGAAATTGTATTTTATTCAACATAAAAAATTGAATATTTCATTTTCTGCTTTTCAAGCTAGCAACATTAGAGCTCAAAGACTGGGATTGTTGCAGCTTGATTTCATTATTTAGCGTTGTATCAGACAAGTTCATCAAAACAGTGGTATCTTCACTTAATTATTCAGACTGAGCCATTGTTAAATCTCATGTCAAATATTCTTAGCTTGCTGCTTACAATACTTTACTTAGGAAATGGAAATAGAAGAGGTTGGACAATCATTTGTTCAGAAAGGTACCGGGTCTCCTGCTTGAGAAGGGGACTGGAATAGAAGACCTCCAAGGTCCCTCCCTCTAGGTTATTCTGCTATTCTGTCATGTAAAAGAACTTTTTTTAAAAAAATATTGTTCTCCTAATTTGATAATTTTATTTCTAATCCCTATTCAGTATATTTCCAAATACATTTGAACTTTTATAGTTTGATTTTTTAAAAATGGACAGTTTTTATTATTCTGGCTCTGTTCTCCTAGATTTTATGCTTACAGTACATGCCAATATATTCTTTTTTCTTTCAAAGATGCTGGTTTTGTTTCGGAATCCAAAGGATGTAGCAGTATCTTTCTTCCATTTTGCCAAAGGCATACACATGAATGACCAGAATACCTGGGATGAGTTCTTTGAAGAGTATATCACTGGAAAAGGTGTTCTTTCTCTCTTTTTCTTTGGAATATATATATATATATATATATATATATATATATATATATATATA